AAAATAGTCAATCAACAAACTTTAAAGAGTTATACAAAAATCACAAGGGCTATATCTCAGATATCATTTTCATATTAGGAGGTGATATGCTTAGAGATATCAGAAAAATTTTATAGCAATCAATGTTGTGACCCCCAACTCTTTTGAACCCCTTAAACAGTTTCAGGAAAGCTATGATAAAATTTATCACAGAATAAACATTATTATTATGCTTTGAAACAATAAATCCTCAGGGCCTTAACTCTCTAATAATGCAACAAAAGAAAAATCCTGAAATACTATCATTTATTTCATTATCCATACTATATATCAGTAGATTCATTCTTTCATTGTTTTCTTAACCGGAAATTAAAAAATGAGCACATCATGACAGATGTGGAAGGATCAACATTTATATAAAAATATGACCGCAACACTCTAATTCAGGTCAATAGTCAATCAAAAAAAGAAACTCAAAAGGGGTCGCCTGGTCGAATTTGGTGAATTTATTATTATTGTTATATTAAAAAACTCCGTCTCCATATTCTTATTATTATTACAATATTACAATAATGAATAACACGAACACGAATTAATTCTTTTTAGTAAAAAATAAAATTGCCAAGAAAAAATCTCATTTATAAGTGTGATATTTTTTTATTTAGTAATAAATAATGTTTGAATTTTCTTTCATAATAAAAAATATCAATTCTGAGAAATGATTTCTTTAATATTAATACTACTATTTATATTAAATATAGTACCGGTCAAATCACAAAATTACGCAATTCCTGCACCTGATATAGCAGGCATACCAAGCGATTCTAGTATAACGTATCCAGATTATGAATACACAAAATTGCTTTCTTATTCTTTATATTTTTATGAAGCTCAGAGAAGTGGTAAATTACCTCCCAATAACAGAGTAACATGGTAATTAAAAAAAAAAAGAATCTTTTAATGATTGATGGATTGATAGGTTAATTAAATCAATTATTATTAATTAGGAGAAAAGATTCTGCGTTGACTGATGGTCAGGATGTTAAACTTGATCTCACTGGAGTAAGTATATCATATTTAATTATTAAAACGATATGTTGATTTTTATTATTTTGCAAGTTTTTAATTTAATCTTTAACATATAAATAATGATATAGGGATATTATGACGCTGGTATGTTTCATTATCAATTGATCTTAATTAACAATAAAAAAAAAATTATTTAGTAGTTAAAAGGTCATTATCATCGTCTTAAAAAATTTTAGGGGACTATTTGAAATTCACTTTACCATTATCCTGGACAATTACATCTTTATCATGGGGCGCATATGAATGGTTTGATGGATATCAACTTGCAAACCAAACTCAATACCTTCAAGATATGATTAGATGGGGAACAGATTGGCTAATAAAATCTCATCCTGACAATAACACTTTATACATTCAAATTGGATTGGGTGATGTAGACAATAATTACTGGGGACCTGATACAAAGTTAATTTAATTTATTAATGTTATTTTTTGGGTGGGATTTAAAAAAAAATATTAAATAATATTTGTATTATTTTATTTTAGTATTCCTTTACCGCGTCCATCATTTAATGTAAATTCTTCTGCTCATGGAACAGATGTTGTTGCCGAAACTGCAGCTGCGATGGCATCTGCCTCTATGTTATTCCGAGAAAAACTAAACGATACTACTTATGCTGATATTTTATTGTCACACGCAGTGTCTTTATATGACTTTGCAGTAGCAGCCCCATTAGTTAAATATCAAGATTCCGTTAGTGAGGCCAAGGACTTTTATTCATCTTCAGGATTTGGTGATGAATTAGTTTGGGCTTCACTTTGGTTATATCGAGCAACAAAGACTCAAGATTATATGAATAATGCTATAAATTATTTTAATACCTATTCCTTAGGTGGTTTAAATAAGGTTATTAATTGGGATGATAAAACTGGTGCCTGTTATGTGTTATTAGCTAAATTAACCCAAGAATCCAACCAAGATAGCAGTAGATGGACAAAAGAATCAGAAAGATATTTAGATGGTGTTGCGAGTGCATCAAATGGATGTAAATTTACAAAAGGTGGATTATACTTTTGTGATGGTGACAGCGATGCAGCATCTTTAAATCCTGCTCTCAACGCAGCTTTTGTGTCTTTATTGTATTCACCTTTAGCCACTTCCACTTCTAAATCTAATAAATATAATGATTTTGCCAATTCGCAAATTAATTATTTGTTGGGTAAAAATCCCTTAAACATACCTTATGTCATTGGTGTCCACCCCAATTCACCTCAAAATCCTCATCATGCTGGTGCGCATGGCGGCAGTAACATAGGAAATTTGAATGATCCTCCTGTGACTCAACATATTTTATACGGTTGTATTGTTGGTGGACCTAAGAAAACAGATCAATTTGATGATGATCGAACTAAGTATGACGAAACCGAGGTATTATTATTATAATTATTGTTATTGTTATTGTTATTTGGAAGAAATTAAATATTAAAATTATTTCTTTTGTAGGCTGCATTGGATTATAATGCACCATTTCAAAGTTTAATGGCTTATCAAGTAATTAATTCAAAAGAAGATCCATATTATGTTACTTTACCACCTGGCAGAGGAGCGGTTAAAGAAAAATCAATGACAGTATTGATTGTTGTATTAGTTATTGTATTTGTATTATTATTTTTAATTGTTGGTTTGATTATTTGGAAGAGAAAATCAATTTCAAAACTATATAAAAAACTTGTAAGGAAATTTAAAAAATAGATTAAAGATGATAATAATAATCGTAATAATAATAATAAATAAATAATATTTATAACTAAATAAATAAAACAAAGCGGCTAATAGTGATGCGCGAATTTTATAAACAATAACAGCGTGCCAAAGTATAAAAGAATTTTATACCAAGACATTTTCATTGTTTACAACCATTATCTATTACAACCATTGATTGGGAAAAAGAGAACTTGTATGCAGCTTCAATACAATTTAAAGTCGGATAACAACATTTAAAAATATTAATAAAATACCTTAATTTCCGATTCAATTGCTAAATATATTTTAGGTTCAATTAATAAAATCCTTTAAAAGCGATTTCCAAAGGTGATCTAAAGACCAAAGATACCAATTACATCTTGTTTATTTAATAATAATGAACTTATCAATCAACCTCTCGATTAAATTGTATTTAGCCAAATAATTTACCATGTAAGTGAATAATTTCCAATCGATTAACGATATTAAAAATAATCTCCAAGTTTGATGCATGTTGTAAATCCAACAAATCCTTTGTCGCTCTGGCACAATTCTATACTATATTATGTTTATTATTATTAGTCAATAATATCATTATCTTCTTTGTTATCATCCTCCATCTCTTTATTCTTTTTAACCCATTTCTGAATTGCTTCTATTGTTTTTTTTCTAGGGTTGATTTTTCGTTGATAGAAGTATGTGATAGCGAAAGCAATAATTCCAAGGTCACTAATTAGTGTACTTGGTTTATGTTTTATTTTTATTATTTCATTGATTTTTAGTCTATATTATATAGCTAGTCCTTATAAGTCCAATCAATAATCCATGAAAAATTTCATTTGTAAAAAGCATTTTTTGTCAAATTCGATGTGTTGATCAAACACAGGCTTGGATTATGAGCATTTATCAAACAGTTATCCAAGGTTGATTATGGTGTTTGGCCACATATTCTCTAAAACCCATTATACAAAACTTTAGCTCATTTTGTTGTTGTTATATAATTAATTAAATTGACTTGATCCTTATTATATACATCTAGTGAGAAATGAGGGCAAAACTACACAATGATAGCAAAGCATTACACATCTAAAATAAATTTTTTATTTTTTTGTTTTGAATTCAATCACATATTTAATAATATTGTTACAATATATTCCACATACACTATATTATTTCGAATAAAATAGATCAAGCAGGGTTGCAGAATTTCGCTGTACGAGAAGAATCTTTGTACGTACGATGTACGACTGTACTTCGTACAATTGAGTTCGTTGTGGACGTATACAACAATGGTTTTCTGTAATGATAAAATATTACTTTGTAAAGTCCTATAATATTATTGTTATTGTCATTGTTATTGTTATTAAGCTGTTAACCCTATTACTATTTATTATAAACGGGGTCGTAATATCAGGAAAAACCCTCTTTTTTATTTTATATTCTATGGTACATTAAAAAGTAAATATCCCGTGATTTCTATTTTTTTTTCCTTGAATAAAAAATTATCCTTTTTTAATACATTTTCAGCACTTAATCCTACAATTCTTTTATTCTGATGGTAAAGCTTTGAAAGATTACTAGGACCACTTTTTTTGTTTTGTTTCAATGATGTAATAAATTATTAAACTTGGTGAAAACAGGAATGAATTAAAAACGATAGTAGATAAAATTGAACATATACTGTAACATTTTAGTATACAGTAAAAAAGAAAAAAAAATTATTTAATTAATAATTAACAATTTATTTAATTCTATTTCATCTCAATCATCTAGTTATGGAAGATGATGAACTTTATAACTTAGATGTCCAAAGTATTGATCATCCAGCAACAAGTTCTGGTGAAAAATGGATACTAAAAAATGATCTTTTTTTAATTTATGAATGACGAATTAATGTATATTACATTTGATCAACCAATAAAAATTGGCATAAGTCACATGATATGTTCGTACAATGTACTAAAAAATTTTTAAGCTCGTACGTACGTGTACGAGTATCCCAACCCTGAAATAGATGTTAATTAAATCAATATTAATTCTATAAAAAAACATTGAAAAATATAAAAATATGCTTATATATAAAAATAATTAATGTATAAAATAATTAACATAAATAAATAAATAAATAATAAATAAATAAATAAATAAATAAATAATTTATGTATATATTAAACAATCCTTTCTCACTTCTTGAATAACACACAATATACATATATATAATTCTAATATTATTAATATTATAGATTTTTTAGAATTCCAGGACAAAATTACTTTCATAAATTTGGCCAGTTCGTTTATTAATGGCCATTGCTTTAACTTCCATTGTACCGAAAGTTAAACTAAACTCTATTAAACGATTTTTGCCTTTTTGTGGATCTGGTAAATCGATTTTCATCTTACCAAGCATCCTCATTCCATCTTCATCGCAATATCTTGCATTATTATCGGTTGTAATGAAAATATTAAATGTCATGTCTATTTGATTGGTAGCTACTGGCGCTGCTGTATAGGAAAACTTTTGGTCAACCGATACTTCCGTGCCACGGAAAGCCAATTTATGAAACCTGAAAATACGTCCCGTTGGAGTTTTACGTTCTGGTGGATCATTTTTTTCCCATTTGGCACTGACTTCAACTCCATAACAAAATTTCAGAACCCTAGTTTGAACTACTCCCATATTAAGCCCGTATTCTAATGATCCTCTTACCACTGCTGCAATAGGATGCTTTGGTACAGCAATTATTGTCACCTATTAACATGAATATATATATACATATTCATTTAATATTTTTATCATAACAAACATATAATTATGTATAAATGAAGACAAAGAAATTTACCATATTCATGAAATTTCTACGAATTTGATATTGTAAATAAAGACTTTCACTAAAACCTCCAACCAAAAACATTGCCATACATCTTCGTTCCATCTGACCCAATTGTCGACGGATTAATTCAATAATCTTATTTACCACAGGATCAAACATATCCTTTATGACTTGAAATTCCAATTCAATCAACCACTCAGCTTCCTCCATCTGATCCCGTGCATTACCGGTAACGTATTTCATAAGTGCTGGACAAACTTTTTCTATATCAATCTCTTTTGTGGTAAACCCATTCGGGTTGCCAGAAAATGTAAATTTAACTTTGTTGCAAAAATATTGTACTAAATATTGAAGTTGTCCATAATTGTTTTCCTTGAGTTTTTTCATTGCGGCAAACCCTAACTTTTTCCCAAGGTACTTTAAAAATTCCCTGTCAACATAGGATGACCCACACAAATCACCACTCCTTTCAGTGATCTCCCCAAGTTTATTTTGGGGTAACAATGTCCTTGTAGTCAAATCTACCGTACCACCACCACAATCTACTATCATGAATGATGCTGTAATAATAATAATAATATAATTAGATATTTATAAGTAATTAAGCTATTAAACAAATATTAAACTTACATCCTACTGCTAAATTGTGTTCAGCTAAAGTTTTTATACAATATATAGCAGCTGCTTCCGCTACAAAAAATAAATATATAAATATCGGTTAAATACTATTGTAACATATATATAATATGAATTATTTACAATGATTATGACTTTTTTCATCTTCTAAATATAAAACTATAAATATATAACTTACGTTCTGTAGTGAATTCTAAATTATCTGATTGCCTGGCTTCCAAATAACCAGCATTGTACATACACTCTCTCATGACAGCTCTTGCGTCATGACCCCTATTTAAATATTAATTAATGATTATTTTAGGTTGGATGGATTTGTATAATATATATTTATATTTTATGTGAATTAAACCCTCCCCCCCTAATTTACCATTCAGCAGGAACTGATATAACAAATCTTACTTGTTGAGGATATTTCATACCTATTTAAATAAAATTTAAATAAAAAATGAGGTTAATATAATTATATGCATGTATAAATAAATAAATATATTAATGGTTGATTGATTGATTACCAGGCCATCGAGTACTTAAAACTTGTGCAATTAGCTACATAAATATATATAAATATACATATAACAGATTTAAAAAAAATTTTTTAATAATCAATATAGTAATTCGAAATTTTACTCACTTTATTCATTTCATGTAAATAATCTGTAATAGCCCTTCTAGAATCTAGGCCCAGAGGAAGTGGGGGTTTTTCGTCCTCCTTTACATTAGCCAAATGGAGTTTAAATAATTCCACCGGCCTTGATTGAGTTTGATTTCGCCTTGATCTTTTTGAGGGCTCTTCTGCTAATGCTGGATACCCCCATGCCAATAACTTGAGACTGTCATCGTATGATAACACTGTGTTTGTTTTAAATACTCCCGTTTGTGATGGCCTATTTCAATTATTATTAATTATTGTCATATTATTTAAAATTTTTAATTATTCATGCTAGTAGTTTGATTATTTTATTTCTCCCAAGATAGTTAAAAAAAATTTATTTTCATACCACTAGGAAGTTTGAAAGAAAAAAATTTTATGAATATATATTTATTTTTTTTCGAAATTAAATGTATATATAAATAAATACATACTGTATCGTTAGTTATTATTTCTGGATTTACTCTACTTGAATATGCAAAACCTTTAAAATTGACCAAATTTTTATCGAAAAATATATATATATTAAAATCTTTGAAAATGAAAACAAAACATCAATTATTTATTTTGTTAAAAAAAAAAATCCCATACCACTAAATGTTGTGCCAAAATCTGAATAAGGTTTATGAAGTAAAAAAAGATTTATTATTTTTTTATTTTTTTATTTTTTTTTTCAAAAAATTTTTTTAAAAAACAACTAACCGAGTGCAACAACAGCTCTAATATCTCTGATTGCCATATTTTTAATTTCCAATGTTATTTTTATTTTTTTTAAACGTGAATATTGAGATGTAAAGAAGGTAGGTATATAAATTAAAAGAAAATAAAAATAAAAATTTAGGAATAAAATGGAAATTCTCAATTTGGTTATAGTTAAAATTTTCTACACAGTTCACGTGTTTCCACTATCTTTTCCATTATCTTCCCAAAAAAAGAATTATTTGTACAGTGCAAGTAGGGTTTCTATTTGTAATACAAATTCTTATTCGAATTATTCGTAATACAGTTGACCTTTAATATTAATATTAATTCGAATTAAAAAAATTTATTCGAATTAAAAAAATTCATTCGAATTAAAAATTTAATTCGCTTTATTCAAATTATTTGTTTTATTTGTTTTATTCATTATCGGAATCTTGGGTT